CACGTGGGCTGCGGACACAGGGCAGCCATTCTGGAGGCCAGTATGTTCCCTCCTTGAGTAAAGGCAGCCTGTGACCCAGCAATTCTGCTCCTGGGTGTCATCCTAAAGAAGAGGAGGGGCATGAGGGTGTGCACTGCAGCATTATTTACAGCAGTGGCCAGAGCTAGAGACGGCCTGGGTGTCCACCCCTCTGGGGAGAGTAACCGAGGCGGACACATAGCAGGGAGCCTGTCAGGGGTGGTGGGCTACACCTGCACTGAGAAACACAGGGGGGTGTTCGCACACAGTGCTTGCAGTGAGGAGCTGTGAGTCACTGGAAAACACAGAAAGTCCGGAGTCCATACCTGTGGTAAGTAAATAAATGCACGCCTTCGTGAAGAGGGTGATGATGTGCTCTTGCCTGCAGGATGAGACACTGGCTGGCAGATGGAATGAACTCTGAAGCCGGAAAGCCAGGTTGTGCACATCCTGGTAAAGACTGGGTCAGCCGAGGATCACGGATGGACACTGACTCTGTGGGAATTCGGTAATGAGGAACAGGATATTTGCACGTTCTTAACGCATCTGCCCCACAGACGGCCTGTTGGCTGCAAAGAGAGGCAGTGGTAACTGCACAGAGGGGAAGTGGACACCGCGGTGACTGAGTGAGCCCAGTGAGGGGCAATGGACAGGTCACCTTCAGACACCTCCGGGGACGAGGACATGCCACCTCGGCAGCATTCCATCTGAGGACAGATCATCTCAACCTAATCATGAGGCAACACCAAACAAGCGCTGAATGAAAACGTTCTATTAAGGGGGAGGCGCTGCGTCGTTCATACGTGCCAACGTCATTAAGAAAAAGCAGGCTGTGGGAACGTCCCAGATTCAGGAAAGATGAAGAGATGAGACAATTAAAGGAAATGCCCGACCTTAGGCTGGCTTTTGTAAGTAAGAGAGACACTACAAAGGACATTATTGTGCCACTAAAAATCATTGGAATAGGGACAGAATCTGACATGAAAGTGTGGTGTAATGTTGCAATGATGAGGTGATAACTCTTGTGGTTATAGCAGAGAACATGCTTACTCTTTGGAGAGATACTCCAACGTATTTAGGGGTGAAGAGCCAGGATGTAACTTACCCTCAAAAGGTTCAGGAAAAAAAATTGTGTGTGTGTGTGTGTGTGTGTGTGTGTGTGTGTGTGTGTGAGGGGGGGGACAGTATGTGAAGTAAAACATTAATACGCAAATCTAGATAAAGATTATACGAGTGTTTTTATTCTTGCAACTTTTTTGTTAGTTTGAATCACTCTTAAGTAAAATTTTTTTAAGTTGTAAAACAGCTCTTAGAAAAGTAAATGAAACAAAAATCTTATTATAATGCCCTTGGTAAAAATTAAAAACACAAACCTTCAAGACACCAAAACACATTTGTTAAGGACCCACAGAACAGAAATGGCCGATGGGCAAGGTAAAAAAAGGGAACTCACAGATCAGCCCGCTGCAGAAGGCAGTCCTCCGTGGGCCAGTGAGGATGCCGTGGGCTGCGTGGGTTTAGGGGAGGGTTGCACTTCACTTTCCGCACCTGGGCTGCCCCAGTTTCCCAGTTTCCTCCCACACCCGATCCTGGAGCTTCCCCATGGCCACCTCTCAGGGTTGTGCTCAGTGTGGGGCTGGAGATCTGCCAACCAGACACCCCAGGCAGGCCTGGCTCTCTGGAGGTTCCTGTCCTCACCCTCCACTGTCCTCTCCCCCTACGTACAGTTTCCAGACACCAAGCCCCGCCCACAGAGTCGTCCCCCCCACTCCCCTGCAAACGGCAGAAATCTGTAGAAAACCCTGTCCAACGTCTATCTAGCGAATGCACTGAGCCAGCCCCTGTGCGGAGCGCTGGGATACAGGACTGTGGGGGGAGTGGTCCCCCCAGAGTGGCCCAGAGGCAGCACGGTCAGCAGCAGTCAGGGGCGCAGGTGCAGTGCCTGTCTCAGCCCAGAGAGAGAGAATGGGGACTGTCCGGGAGCGGAAGGGTCACTAACTGGGGTCGGGAAGCTTCCTGATAAAGAATTAAAGAACACAAGAGGTTTGCCCTGGCCAGTGTGGCTCACTTGGTTGCAGCGTCATCCCATAACCAAAAGATTGTGGGGTTTGGTCCCTGGTCCCGGCCCATCTGATCCGGGCTTACACGGGAAGCAACCATTGATGTTTCTCTTTCTTCCTTCTTCTCCCACTAAAAGCAATGGGGAAAAAAATGTCCTCGGTGAGGATTAAAAAAAAGAAAGAAAGAAAACAAGAGAATTGGGCTGTGAAGCGTGGGTGTGGGTAGGAGTTTATGAACCCCCAAAGCGCAGGGCACGGTTGTCTGCAGGGACAGCGAAGGAAAGGGGCTCCAGGTGGCCTGGGTGTTCCTGCAGCCACCCGGCCCGGTGTTCACCCTGCCTCCCCTCCCCCACGGCGCAGCCCTAGGAGATGCTGGGAGCACCCACGTGACCGGCAACTTTCACAGACCTCACGACCGAGTGCAGGGACGCAGACGCAGTAAGACCAGGACCAAGGAGCCAGAATCTGTATGTATTTTCTCCTTCACTCCACCCGACATGGCCCCAGCCCCAGCCACCATCAAAAAAGGACCTGACCCTGACGGCAACATTTCAGCCCTTCTTGTCATCCTGCTGAGGCTCCTGAGGTGGGAAGAGAAGAGAGAAAAAATATTAATAACAATAATGATTAAAAACTCCATAAAATAATAGCGTTGCCCTGGCCAGTGTGGCTCAGTTGGTTGGAGGGTTGTCCTGTAACCAAATGGTTGCAGGTTCCATTCCCTGTGGGGGCACATACCTAGGTTGTGGGTTCCATCCCCAGGCCAGGCTCTTATGGGAGGCAACTGATTGGTGCTTCTTTCCCACATCGATGTTTCTCTCTCTTCCCCTCTTCCTTTCTCTTTCTCTAAAAGCAATGGGGAAAAAATGTCCTCAGGTGAGGAGAAAAAATAATATTAGCGCCTATTTCAGGCTTACTCTGTGTCAGGCACCATTCTACATTTTCGGTGGGTTACAGCGCCCACTTGTGTGTCCTTGCCATTTTCCAGACACACCTACCACAGGGCCTTTGCATGTGCTGCTCCCTCTGCCTGGAATACTCTGTGCCCACCTGCTTTGATTCCTTCTTTCAAGTGTGTAAGTATCACCTCCCCTATGAAGTCTCCCTGACCACTCAATTTAGAGTTGAAAAACCTCCCAGCACTCCCCACCCCCTTCCCTGCCGTGTCTTCCTCTCACCACTCATCTCCTTCTAAAACGCTTTCATTTGCCTGTGTCTTGTTCATGGTCTGCACCCCCCCCCCCCACACACACACACACAATGTCAGCTCCATGAGGCAGCGGTTTGTATCTCTTTTGTTCACTGCTGTATCATCCCCAGAGCTCAGGACAGCCTCCAGCACATTGTCTGTACTTAGTAAATAAAATGAAACCCATTGAGGTAAAAGCTATCATAAATAGTTTTTACTTTACAGAGGAAGAAACCCAGGTACAGAGGGGTTAAGGTGTTTGCCCCCAGTCACACAGCCAGTAAATGACAGCACTACCCCCAGATCTGTAACATGGGCATTATTGTTCTTGCCCACCCAACATTCCACCCCCATTATCCCTTCCCAGAAGGTTCAGTGGGACCAACTCCACCCCTAGCTCCCACAATGGGCATATGATGCAAGACTGGCCAATGACGGCACTACATTCCCTCAGACCTCAGTGATTGGTTCAGGGATGGACATGTGACCTAAACCAGGCCAATGGGAACCTCTGCAGGAGATGAAATAACATGAGGTCTGGAATATATTTTGAAATACTACCTACAAAAAAAAAAAATAGGGGAGAAAATAGGTAAAATGAGACAAGAGAAAGACAGTGATAGTTGACCTGGGCAATGGGTTCATGGACTTTATTATGCTACTGTACTCTCAACTAGTGTGTATATCTAAGTGTTTCCACCAAAAAATGTTTTTAAAATTATAGTCCTCATTTATATAAAATTCTAGAAAAAGCAAACTAATCTATGGTGACAGAAAGCAGATCAGTCATGCCCTGGGGTAGGAGAGAGGCTGGGAGAAATTACAGAAGTTCTGAGGAAACTTTGGGAGGTGATGGATACGTTCTTCATCATCTTCATTTTGGTGATCATTTCACAGGTGTATTCATATGTCAAAATTCATGTACTGCCTCTTATATATCACACCTCAATAAAACTGAAAACAAATGTAAACATAGATATACCACAGTTGAAGTATTAAATAAGCAACAGCTTAAAAATAAAATAAAAACTTTAAAATCAGTAGCAGCTTGCAAATATGTACAAATTAAGTGGCTTCAAAATTTAGTCCCCAGGCAAATCACCCTGCTGCGCATGTGCTTTGACGCTGTCAAACAATGACGTCAGCAAGAGCGCATCTGCCACGCTGGCTCCACCCCGTGCCTGTGCTGGCCAATCCTGTGGCTACAGAGCACTTGAAATGTGTGTGGTATGACTGTTAATCTGAGATTTTAATGTATTTCATTTTCATTAACTTAATTAACTTAACTTTAAATGGAAAAGCCACGTAGTGTTATTGGATAGCTCAGCTTTACAACTAAAAGTTTAAAAAATAAATCTAGAATTTAGGGGTGGGGGGCGAGGATGAGAAGTGGGAAGGGGAAAAGACAAACATATAAATAAATAAATAAATAAATAAGTCTAAAGCTATTATGAAAGTAAGTTTATAGCTGACATACCCTGAAACTTACTCTGAGCTCTGCACTATTTAGTGGTTTGTAGGAGGCACCTCACAGAATCATCTCAACACCCCCATTTTACAGATGAAAAATCCGAGGCTCAAAAATGGTGTGGATGGCTCGTCCTGATGTTAGCACCGAGGACTGGCTGAGCTAGGATTAGGGCTGGGCATCTTTGTCCAGCCCCCTGTCCGCCTCCTCCCCTACAGCCCAGCCCCGGCCCCTCCCTCCTCACCTCCAGCTCACCCGTTGCCTGCTACATCTTCCTGATCCCTTCACTGATAATGTTCACAATTTTCTTCAGCTTGGCCTCATCCACAAAGCCATCACCTTTCTGGACGCGGAGGGGAAAGAGCACAGACATGTGTGGCTCCCACAATCCAGGACCCCAGCACCACCCTCCTGCCCTATCTGGGACCCTCGTTCAGAATCACCTTCTTTGAATGAACCAATTTTCCATCCACAAACACTTCAAACTCCCCGGTAGCCTGTGAAGATATGTCCTCCTCCTGGGAAGGGAATGTTGGGGGTGAGAGAAAGCTAAGAGCTCCCCTCCAAGCTCCTCGGGGGGCTCTCGGACCCCTGACTACCCCCACTCCCCCGGCCACCATCGCACTCACAAAGAGCAGACAATTTGGGAACTGCTGCTCCAGACTCTTTTTCAGTAGAATGTACTGGGGGGGGAGATGAAATCATGTGATCACAGGGTCACAGGGTCACAGGGTCACAGGGTCACAGGTCTTACAGGGAGTAGAAACAGAAACTCCCAGATTTCATGCCCCACGCTCTTCCCACCTCCAAAGCCAAAACTACTCACCCGGAGGTTATAGCTTCAGAGGCCACTGTAGGCCAAGGACAAAAGAAGGGAGGCAGAAAGAGACAGAAGACACAGCATTAGTATTTCCCCAAGCCCAGAGGGACCCTGTGAGCACCTGAGTGAGGTCACATCCTTGCCCTGCTCGGAAGCCTCCCACAGTGCATCTTTCTCCTGGCAGAAAACCACAGCCAGCACTCCCCATGATCCACAAGCCCCCACAGGGTCTCCTCCCACTCTGCCCCTGGCCGACTCCACTCCCGCCACAGGGGCCCCCAGCCTCGCTCTCAGCGCTCAGGCGTGCCTTGCTCAGAGCCCTCACGCTGGCTCTTCCTTCCGCAAAATGCCATTTCTCTGGTATCTGCATGGCTCCTTCTCTCCCCTCCTTCAGGTCTCTGCTCATATGTTGCTTTCTCAGTGATGGCTTCCTGACCACCCAGTTAAAACTGCGATCCCTCCCAAGATGCCCTTGGTTCATAGCACTGATCACCTTCTAAGATGCTAGATGATTTACTATGTATCATACATATTCCACACCAAAATGTCAGTACCACAAGGACAATAATCTCTGTCTTATTCACTGTTGCGTCCCTACTAGGTCTGGCACATGGGAGGTGCTTAATAAATAGCTGTTGAATGAATGAAATAATGAATCCATGGAGTCGGAGAAAGAGATAGAATGGAGGAGATGGGCAGAGAGATGAGCAAATGAGCAGACAGGTAGGAAGAGACACACACAACGTGGGAAAAGGAGAGGAGATGAACTAGAGGCACAGACAGCCCCGGGCAGAGACGGGAGAGAGAAAAAGTGGGAGACGTAGGGGAAGAAAACCTTGTAGAGCAGGACAGAGGCGTGGGGACTGAGGGAGTGTCCCTCCTTCAGGGACATTTAGTCCTGCATCTCAGGGAGGTCAAGGAAGGCCATTTCTGACACTATCGTCCTTGACACAAAGAGACATTCTGAATCTGAGCCAGCCTTCACCTAGCAGATGCCTTCTCGTCACTGTGAAGGCCCATCTCAAGTGCCACCTCCTAAGAAAGACTGTCCTTAACCACCCGATGTGAAGTTCCCTGCCCCATGTCATCCTTCAGGGCACTCTGTCTTTGGGTCTGCCTTGTCTTGCTTCCCCTCAGGAGGAAAGCTGGTGGCTTTGCTCAGCACTTCACCCCCAGCTCAGGCCTGGCCCATGGAAGGCAGGCCACTCTGTAGTGAAGGGAGGAAGAGAGGGAGGTAGGAATTTGAGTCAACGAATGAAGCTTGGAGCTAGGACTCACTTCTGGCAGCAGAGCGGGAATTTGAACCCAGAGCTCTTTAGCCCCCAAGAAGCGATAGAGGGAGCCAAGTTTCCCACCTGGCAATTGGGACTTCCTCCCTCACCCTACCTTCAAATCCCCAAAGCCACAGCACCTACCCTTCCTGCCCTTTCCCCATGGGGAGGAAGGCACGTGTGAGTGGGGACGGCCCCTCACCAGTAGATCACTCTAATTAGGATCTTGTTGTCCACTTGAAAGTACTGGCTGGTGGAGGCAAATGTGTTGGCAGAAATAGGTAAGGAAGTGGCCAAGGGGATGGCCCCCAGGACGGGCGTGGAGATAGGTCCAGCCGTGGAATCTGTCAACTTCGTGGCCACTGGGTCTGCCCCCGGGGTGGACCCGAGACTGGGCCCCAGTAAATCAGTGGCCAATGGAGTGAGCTCAGGAAGGGGCTCTTGTGTGGTTCCGGATCCACTGGCAGCCGCCGGGACGTACCTCAGCCCCGGCGTAGGAGCCTTACCAGGCCACAAAGCGGGCTCTGGAGCGGGCTCTGGAGCGGGTTCTGGGGGTGGGCCCAGAGGTGGGGCGGAGCTCCGGAGGGACTCCAGGTCGGAGCCCGCGGGCGGGACCAGGACTGGGACCAGGATCTCAGACGAGATAGGCGTTAAGGCCGGAACCGCAGACGGGGTTCTGCCCCGGGGCACGGCCTGGAGTGGAATCAGGGTCCCGACCGGGGTCGGGGTTGGGGGCCGGACTGGGGTCGGAGTCAGGGGCCGGACCGGGGTCGAGGGCCTGGCCGGAGACAGGAACTGGACCGGGATCGAGGGCCTGGCCGGAGTCAGGGACTGGACCGGGTTCGAGGGCCTGGCTGGAGACAGGAACTGGACCGGGATCGATGGCCTGGCCGGAGACAGGGACTGGACCGGGGTCAAGGCCGGGGCTGGAGTCATGGACCGGACCCGGATCGAGGGCCTGGCCGGTGTCAGGGACCGGACCCGGATCGAGGGCCTGGCCGGTGTCGGAGCCTGGACCCGGACCGAGGGCCGGGCCGGTGTCGGAGCCCGGACCAAGGCGGAGGTCCGGGCCGGAAGGGGGGCTGAGGCCCTCGCCTGGTTGTTCATGGGGGCCTGCGGTGCCCGGGGAAACCGGGCAGGGACCTCAGCCTCCCTCCCTCCAGGGCAGAGCGCCTGGCCCGCACCAGGGTTCTAAAACGGGACGCGGCCACAAGGGGGCACTGTTACACCGAGTTCCACTCACCCGCGGGTTCTGTTGCCCCGGGGCGGGGATGTGGCAGGACGTCTACATTTTACCAAACGATTCCCATCACCTTAACCCCCACCACGACGGTAAGGAACGCACAGATTACGCCAGAGTTCCCTCATTGTCGTTACCGTTCAAGTGTTCATTGCGTGCCTGTCGTGTGCACGGTCCCGTGCTGGGTGATTCTGCAGACAGAGCAGCGATCAGGAAAGCCCTGGCCCGGGGATCAGGCTCCCTGTCCAGCGGGGGAGACATACCCTCACTAAGCAATGACCTACTGCGGTCAGGACTGAGGCGGCGGAGGCGCCGGCAGAGAGGGGTCAGAGATGTGGTGAGGGAAGCACCTGGACCCGTGGGATCCCAGGGGAGGCGCCAGAACCAGTTTGGGGCGGAGAGGGCCCCTAGAGGAGGGGACGACTGAGAAACCTGGAGAAAAGTAATAACAACAAGAGGTTTTACATTTCTGTAATGCTAAGTGCTGCACACACGCCCACGTGACAGAACCAGGATTCAAGTGGACGCAGGCCTCCAGAGTCCTGGGGCAGAGGAAGAACTCTTTTCACCCTGTGAGCGCCTTCAGGGAGGGATTTTTATCTTGTTCTCCGAGGAATCCCCAGCTCCTAGAATAAGGCCTAGCACACAGTAGGTGCCCAATAAATATTTCACTTTTTATTTTAACCTAGTTTAACTTAACACTTAGAAGAAGTGGGAAATGCCCTCCTGGCTGGTGTGGTTCAGTTGATTGGAGCATCCTCCCTTAGACCAAAAGGTTTTGATTCTCCGTCATGGTACACACCCAGGTTATGGGTTCAGTCCCCTCTCAGGGCAAGTACAACCCCTCATCCCCCTACTGATGTTTCTCTCTCTAGAAGGAATTAAAATATATGCCTGGGTGAAGATGAAAAAAAATTTTAAGAAGTGGGAAAAATAGCCCTGGCTGGTGTGGCTGGGTGGATTGAGTGCTGCCTGGGAACCAAGGGGTCAACGGTTCCATTCCCAGTCCAGGGCACGTGCCTGGGTTGCAGGCTGGGTCCCTGGTAGGGGGGCATGTGAGAGGCAACCACACATTGATGTTTCTCTCTTTCTCCCTCTCTTCCCCTCTCTAAAACAAATAAAGAAATAAAATCTTTTAAAAATATAGAAAGAAATGGGGAAAATAGCACAGAAAATTCCTATGTAACTTTCACATATAAATAAGTAATAATATCTTCTGTACCCCAGGATGTAAAGCCAGGATGATGAGATCTGTCCCATATTACAAAGCACAGCAGGCCTTATTCAGATTCAAGGCAGGTTTCAAACAGAAGAGTCCTGACCCACCACTGTGCTTCCCAGTCCTTGAGCCCTTCCTGTGTTAAATCTTGGACCAAGAAAGACACCCAATTTTTTGTGTGATGCTAAGCAAGTCTCTACCCCACCCCTCTCTGGACTTCAGAGAGGCATGGAGACATGGAATGGGTGGTGCCTCACCCACGTGCGGTAGATAAAAATTGGGGTGGATGCCTCGGGAGTGAGGGGTCCCAGCCCCGGACCAGACCATCCAGCCCAGGGAGATAAATTCCCATAACTTCTGGCTGTAAAAACCACTGGGAGTTGGGGCACCAGAAGAAACTGCAGCATACTCAGGAAACTCTTCTTAAATGGCCTGCAATGGACTTAGGACGTACACAGACTCACTCCCTCTGGGATTCAGCAGCAGGGCAATAGCTGTAAGGGCATCAGTGGCATAGAGGGAGAAAGTAAAGTGACTGGCAACAGAGTGAGTGCCAGGAGACACCTTCCACCTGAACAAAACTCCAGAGGCCAGGCAGTGGCACTGTCTCCTCCTGAGCTCTCCCCCCACACAGAGCCACCCCACCCTGGTGATTACCTAAGGCTCCACCCCATACAACTTACAGGTGTGCTTTTCTACAAGAGGCCATACTACTAAGGGAGTCAAAACAGCTCTATCTAATACACAGAAACAAACACAGGGAGGCTGCCAAATTGAGGACACAAAGAAATATGGCCCAAGGGAAAGACCAGAACTTTAGAAAAAGAACTAAAGAAATGGAGATGAGCAACCTATCAGATGCAGAGTTCAAAGCACTTGTTATCAGGATGCTCAAGGAACTCAGTGGGTACTTCAACAGCATAAAAAAGACCCAGGCAGAAATGAAGGTTACATTAAATGAAATAAAGAAAAATCTACAGGGAACCAATAGTGGAGTGAAGGAAGCTAAGAATCAAATCAATGATTTGAAACATAAGGAAGAAAAAAATTATTCAGTCAGAACAGCAAGAAGAAAGAAGAATTAAAAAAAAAAAAGGATAGGCTAAGGAGCCTCTGTAACATCTTCAAACATACCCACATCAGAATCTTAGGCGTGCCAGAAGAAGAGAAAGCAAGAAATTGAATACTATTTGAAAAAATAATGAAAGAAAACTTTCCTGACTTGGCCAAGGAAATAGACATACAAGTCCAGGAAGCACAGGGAGTCCCAAACAAGATAACCCCAAGGAGGACCACACCAAGAAACATCATAATTAAAATGCCAAAGGTTAAACATAAAGAGAGAATCTTAAAAGCAACAATAGAAAAGCAGATAGTTACTACAAAGGAGTTCCCATAAGACTGTCAGCTGATTATTAAAAAAAAAAACTTTGCAGGTGAGAAGGGACCAGCAAGAAGTATTCAAAGTGATGCAAAGATCTACAACCTAGATTACTCTATCTAGCAAAGCTATCATTCAGAAATGAATGATAAAGCACTCCCCAGAAAGAGTAAAACTAAAGAAGTTCATCATCACAAAGCCATTTTTATATGAAATGTTAAAGGGAATTATACAAGAAAAAGATAAAAACTATGAGCATTAAAATGGCAATACATTCACAACTATCACCAATTCAATCTAAAAAATAAAACAATTTAAGCAAACAAGCAAAACAGGAACAATTATACATATAGATATCTTGGAAGATTATCAGTTGGGAGGGGGTAGAGGAAAATGGGAGAAAAGGTGCAGTGATTAAGTATAAATTGGTAGGCACAAAACAGATAGGGGGGTGTTAAGAACAGTATATGAAATGGAGAAGCCAAATAACATATGCACGACACATGGACATGAACTAAGGGGTGGGGTACTGCTGAAGGGAATGCAGATACAGGTGGAGAAGGGCAAAAGGCAAAAATTGGGACAACTATAATAGTATAACCAATGAAATATTTTTAAAATACAACTTATATGACAACATATGGTGATACTATCATGCAACTATACCTGCAACCACCACATGTGAAGACAGTAGCTTCTCATAATCGCTCTGCATACCCCCTCCCAAACAATTTCCAGTGTTCCCCTACCATATCGATATTATGTTGGAGGCCTGGCCAGGAATCCCAGTGGTTAGAGCATTATCCCGATACGCCAAGGTTGTGGGTTTGTTCCCTGGTCGGGGCACATCGAAGAAGGAAACAATGAAATGCATAAGCGAGTGGAACAACAAATCAATGCTCATCTCTTTCCTTCTCCTTTCCTTTCTCTAAAACAAGTAAGTAAATAAGACATTATACTGATTTTTATGGTAATCATGTCATTGCTTCTTTTATATCTCTTCTGTTTCTTTTCATTTATAGGTTTACCCTTCATTCCTTTAACTCCCTTGATAATTATTTGCTTTTTTCTTTTGCTTTTTTTATAAAACAACTTTACTGAGGTATAATTTACAGATCATAAAATTCACCTGTTTTAAGTGTACAGCTCAAAGATTTTTAGTAAATTGGCCGAGTTGTGCACCACCGCCAGGATCACTTTTAGGACATTCCCTTCATCCCAGTCAGATCCCTCCCGCCCACTCTCGGTTAATCTCCAGTCCCTCCCCAGACCCACGCAACCACTAATCTCCTTTCTGTCCCTACAGATTTACTTCTTCTGCACATTTAGTATAAATGGAATCATAAGTGACCAGCTTCTTTCATTTGAGCAGGTTTTTATGGTTTATCCAGGTGGTGGCACCAAACTTCATTCCTTTTTACAGCTAAATGATATCCCACTGTAGGGAGACACTGTATTCTGTTTCACCTCTCACCAACTGATGGACACTTGGGTTGTGTTCACGTTTTGGCTATGCTAAATAATGCCTCTGTGAACATTTGCATGCAAGTTTTTTTATACATATGTTTTTCTCTTGGGTAGATACCTAAAAGTTGATGTGTTGGGTCATATACTATCTGTGTTTAACTTTAAAACATTTTTTATTTACTTATTTATTTTTAGAGAATGAGGAAGGGAGGAAGAAAGAGAGGGAGAGAAACATCAGTGTGTGGTTGCCTCCCACATGCTCCCCACTGGGGACCTGGCCTGCAACCCAGGCATGTGCCCTGACTGGGAATTGAACTGGTAACTCTTTGGTTCATAGGCTGGCACTCAATCCACTGAGCCATACCATCCAGGGTTCTATGTTTTTGTTTTTGTTTTTAACTGCCAAACTGTTTTCCGAGGAGCTTCCCCGTTTTACATTCTGCCAGCAGGGCATGACAGTCCCCATTTGTCCACATCCTTGCCAACACTTGTTTTTGTCTGTCATTGTGAGCACAGACATTCTTGTAGGTGGGAAGTGAAAGGCTAATTATTTCTCGTAGAAGCCAACCACGTATCCCACAGAATCCCCAGTCTGGGTTGTGCTCATCCCAAATGTGTTACATAACATTTCCTGTAAATTGCTAGTCCGTCGAACTATATCAAATTGCCAACATCCGACGTTTTTGACCTGAGCAGATGTTAGCGCACCTCCCTTTGGGACAACAGAAGGAATCGGCCTCCGATTGTACTTGCTACCAGTGAGGAAGAAAAAGTCGTTACCTGGTGATGTCATGGGGGAC